TTACCCTGAGCCAGTACCACGACCCTTTTAGTGACCTTCCAGGTACTATTTGAGAACACTACTGATTGACCACACTCATCTACTGTCCAACAAGAATGAGATTCTTCTTCAACCAGGAATATGTCTGACCTTTTGCAAAGTCAATTTGCTCTTGTATGGAGTGTAATATCAACGTATTTCATCATCACCATGTTCAGAGCTTCTCCATCAGCCGATATACCTTCCCAAAGTAACCTGCAACATAATTTCGCATTAACTTTCAATAAGAAAATATATAGAAAGAAACCTCTGAATCTAATATTCAGTTATCAACAGAATTGTGAACTGTCGGTAATAGTGCATCATGTATTTCTTCAGTCACAACATTAGCGTCATCATTTTCCGTCTTCTTTGGATTTTTGAAGTTCTTTTTTATGTGGTCATCTTTGTCACAATTCCAACACGTTGATTGTTGACCAGACTTCGACTTGTTTCTATCTCTGTGCTATGAATTGATCTTCCTCTGTTTGAGTTTCTAACTTGTGATCTTCATCTGCAATCAACATTCAGTGTTGAACTCGAACTAAAGATTTTGCTAGAATTTTTCTGCGCACCTTCTCAGTCAAGATTAAATCACGAATATCATCATATATAAGCTTGTGATCCTCAATAATATCAGCGCACGTACCTCATCGTCAAAATCAATTTCAACAGACGACAATTGATTTGTGAGGGTATTAAAATCATTCAGATGCTGGACAACAGATACACCTTCCCTCATCTTCAAGTTGAATAATTTTTTCATCAAGTGTACATTGTTATTCGTCGATGACATTTTATACATACCTGAAAAAGCCATCATGAGATATGCAGTAGTCATTTCCTTGATGACGTTGTGGGCAACGAATCTCGACAGGGTTAATCGAACAACCCCCAAAACTTGTCAATCCAACAGATTACAATCAGCTTCATTCATTTTCTCCGGTCGTTTAACCAGAACGGAAGATGAAGTTACTTCTCATAAAGATAGTCCTCTATCTGCATCCCTCAATAACCAAAATCCGTGTCATCGAACTTCTCGATCCTCGATACATTTAATTTGTTTTCGGTCATCGTTCTTCCTCAAATCCAAACCACGGCTCAGATATCAATTGTTGTGAAAAACAACGACAATAAAACAAAATTAGAAGGAGAAAGTTCTAAAACAAAAAGGAACATGCACACAGATTTACGTGGTTCGGCAAATTGCTTACATCCACAAAGTTGTTGAGGATTTTATTGCTTCAAGTTCGTCGATTCGACGTTTACAGAAAATCTTCATTTCTCTTCCTCTCTCTCTCCTCACCTTTCTCTCTTATCTCTCTCTACCTTTCCACCTGTAGCACAAGGCAGAAAGAAAAGAGGGAAAATAAACTTGTGGTTTTTCCTATTCCGTAAGCCAAAGCACCGAAAAGTTTGCCCCTTTTGCTTCAACTGAAGAAGAGTGGGGTTGGATTTATTCGAGAGCAGGTAGGTTAGCCATTTTATAAGTAGAAGACACAAAAAAAGGAATTCCTATTGTTGGACGTGATTCCACGTGAAAGTTGGCGGGACCGCGTGAGGAGGGAGGCTTTGGCAAGACCGCATAGAAAGAGATTCCGGGTGAAAAAGAAGAATTTGGCGGGACCAACTTGAAGAGTCACAGGGTACATATATATTCAACAAGGCAGGCGCAGGGGCAAATGAAGCCCTGCTTGCAGGAAAGCCGAGCAGCACAAGAATTCATATTTTGCTCTCGTGCATGAGTTTAGGCTGAACCGATATATATATTAGTTAGATGTGCCACAAACCGTGGCATGTTGGTTGGCGGGGTTAACTGTAAGTCCCCTCAGGTCACGGGTTCGATCCCTAGTGGCGCTGGGTTCTCCAATATTTAAGCACATGACTCGAGCTCTCATCATGGGGTCTTGCGCACAGGAAATCGGTGTTTGGGCATCTGTATTAGTTTGATATGTATTAGTTTGATATTATTAGATTATATTAAATCTTATTAGTTAATAACAGGGATTAAGGTGATAAGCATTTGAATAAAGAAATTTTCAGTTCATAACTAAGATTGGCGTAAGAAAAAGATTAACAAGATGAATAAATTGTGTAGTTATTTATGTGAAGTTATTTTGAATTGTTGGTTAATGTTAATTGAAATTGAAAAAAATGCATTGTAAGTTTCACTGAATGATATCAGATTTTGGCAAATTTGAGTCATTAAATTAGAGAAATAATAGAAGTAAAACGATCAAAGGCCTGGGATGAGTAATTATGTTTTAAAGTGTAATAATTTTTCTTACATTTAAGTATATTTTTGTTTATAATTTTTCACTATTATGTCTTATATCAATGAAATTAAATCACATATAATTCTTCATATCGTTAGTCATGAAGTACATATGTTAAAATTGTTGTCTTAATAGTTACATGATAATTTAGTTTCAGAAGAAAAAAGATTATTATATTATCATTATGTTCAAGTAGAGATATATATGTTAGTTTTATTGCATGACTAGATGTATAAGTCAAATTATTACTTGACTTTTAGAATTATAATAATATGCATCTATTAGATTATCGTATGAGCTTAAATTTTAATAGAATTGCATTATTTTTTTCGGATAAATACAAGTTATCTCATACGAAAGTACTGTGTATCTTGAGATATAAAATAAAAATATAGTATACACGGATGCTTGTGTGCGCGTAAAAGATAAAGAGTTCGCCCCCTTATGGTACAGGCAAGGGGCGGAAATGTACCAACACGTGTAAATATTTTCCTACCATCTCAAATAATTGTGAAAGTAAGATCACTAACCGATGTGTCGACGGGATAATATCGGTCATTCATGAGTAAGCACCCTACCACCTCAAACAATTGTGTAATTTAGATCAATAATCGTTATGCCAACAGAATAATACTAGTCAGGAGTGTGTTAGGTAATGTTTTCACGATGGTCCTGAGACAGATGTGAATACTAAAAATATGAAATAAAAATAAAGCTAAAATTTTAACATTGAAGAACAAAATTAAAATTAATGCATATAGAGCTTTAGATTAATTCCATCGAGTAAATGTTAAGAATACATACATTAGATTATTAAATGAATTTTTATAATGAAATTTGAATGATCGATATGTACATTATTTTCTTTTTCTTGGGTTATTGTAATTTAAAAGTGTGATTGCATTATTCGACTGGGTTATCTGAGATAATTTATTATATTTTTTTAATATTTTTTAAGTTTTAAGATTTTGAAAGATATGGATAATAGATGAGATAATTTTTACAAAAGGCAAGGAAAACAGCCTGAAAGATCAACTTTATTTTCTTAAATAAAATATTTTCTTTAGTAGATATTTCAATTAGTAATATGTATAATAAACAGTTAGTGAAAGAAATAGAATCATAAAAAAAACTTAATTTCATTGTGAGACTGTTTTTTCCTGCCTTAGTTAATCTTAAGCCCCATATTGAATCGTGACACCAACATTTTTTGCATTTTTATGGTGTTTGAGATTGAGACCACCGTTGTTAGGGATCCCCATTTGTTGAAAACCATCATTTGGCTTGTTAACAAAAGAGGGTTGTCAACTCAATCCCATTTGAGCTTTATTAACTTTGACTTTATTTATCTCACTTCACTCGAGGCTAAGGGACTATTTCTAAATTTCTATATTCGGATCAACAACCTCCACAAGAATTATGGGACAATTATAATTGAAACGCATAAAATGTTAACTTCATTAGGTGTTATGGGGCAAATAAAGATGTGCCCATAATATTATGCATTCCAGTATAGTCAACCATTTGAATCCATATTCTTCCTTCATCAAAACCGAAATAGTGGAGGCTGCGAAACTAGTTTCTAGTTCAAAGTGCTCATTTGGAAGAATTTGTAACTTGGTTCCCTTAGAAGAGTATGATGCCATATTCTAGGAGTTTAGGAGAGACCACGCTGTTTGAGGCTGAAAACTAACTCTCTAATACAAGATAACCATGGCTATATTCTACAAACTATTCATTCCTTGATTATGATAAGATAACCTTGAATAGTTTTGACAAAGTGTTAACCGTTTTGGGAATCGAAAGCTGAATGACCACTAAACTAGTAACCTTTCCTCATGAGGAATAAGAACAGGACGACCCCCTTGATTTTTTATTGATTGGTTTTTTTTCCGTTTTTTATGGGGAAGTTAAGGCAGCTCTGATGAGGATCCTAATATAAAGCATGGTGTCAAATCATATGCATGTATCTTAATTGGATTTTCATATTGAAAGTTCAAACAAAGAAATTAGAGGCCACAATTCTACCAAAAGAACAAGAGCTTACAAGCCATTATTAAGGGCCGAGAGACAAGGTGAGCATTCAGGTGAGGTTTATTGCTCAGGCTTTGTTTGAATTTACGAGCATTTGCTGTGGTGGTCATGCTCTACTCTAGAATTGCCTGTAAGGTACTGCGCTAGATTTGTTTAGTGCCTCGTCGCAAAGAGTGAGAGGCAAAAAAATCATACCCAGAATAATATTATTTCCTCTTCACTAAGCGTAACTGGATCTGCATAATGGTAACTTCAAAATGCATAAAATGGTTGGAGCGTGAAGGACAAACGGATGTCAAAGCCTTGACTAAAAGGTTAATTTACTAAAGTTTAAGAATCAGAAAAGTTTTGAGGAGCCCTCGTTTATAAAGATGCTGAAAATCTTTGAGATTGTCCTTCAGATATGAGCATGACCATAGAGACTTCTATACAATTTTTCCAACGAAAAATATAGCAAATGGTGGAAAAATAAGATCATGTGGTTTTATCATCAATCTAGCATTTGTTAGAAGTTGGATTATAGATCAAAAAATAGTTCAAACAAGACGTTCAAAAGAAATTATTTGTTCATCAAATAAAACTAGCTAAGCATCAAACAAAATTCTTCATAACATCAAGATGTATATACTTTCAAAATAAAAGAAGATAGAAATCCATTAGTATGATGATAACCTGTTTGTCCACAGGAAGTGGGAAAACATCACCAAATATTGTCACACGAGCATTTGATAATCCACTCCACCCGGGAATCTGTAAAATAAAACATGATAACTAGTCTTGATGACACGAAATGACACAGAATGCTATTTTGCAATAAAATAGCTAATTCTTAGGGCATACTTGCACAACAAGTGTGCATCTTGAATCCGCCAATAAGTTCCTTGTGTGGATGGCCAATGGTGACAGTGAAAATATCGGATCTGAATAAATGAATAACAGCATTATGTACATTCAAGAAAAACTCAGTTTTGCGCATTGAAAAAAATAGAAAACTTACGGCCTGCTGAATCAGCTGCAAAATCAACTAAAGAACCAAATGGATACCCTGCGCGACGATGATGCATCCGCGACATGACAGTACATAGATGAGCAAATCTGGCCTATTTATTTATATGAAGTGAATTAAGATAAAAATTCAAGAAAACAAACAGAAAAGCTCCTTAAAAGCAGGACAACAACCAATTATGGTGCATAATAAAAACGAGACACCTTTGACTGATAATATTAGCCATCCATATATGTTTAAAATTTACAATGTAGCTTACCTGTTCCATCAGGTTACGAACAGCTAAGGCTGGTGGAGGCAAGTCATGAGCAGATGTTGCACTGTGCACACCACCTGAAATTGGTGTCCTGAACAGCCCAGCCTTAGATCCAGTTGGGCCATTTGCGCCAAGAGGTGGTATAATCCCTTCCTTTCCAGCTGCAACTGTGTGGTCGCTACCAACCTCAAAAAAAAAAAAAAAAAAAAAAAAACTTCAACTGCTTAGTACAAGCAAGCAGGATGACCAGCAGTCAGCTCATTAATTACTGCAGAATTAATTGGAGCGGACAAGCCACAAGATAATAACTCAAACTACAAACCAAAATTTTTTTAAAAATATATAATCATGTGCTGGATAGTTAGTAATGCCACACTTTTTAGCCTTCCTCTCAAAAATTCAGAAGTTCTGCTGAAAATGTCTGCTCTTAGCGAGTTATACAAATGTTGGGTAAAGAATATACGTAAGGAAAAATTAAAAGAAAGAAAAAAAGAAAATATGACACTTCATAACAGATGTCAGGGCAAGTTAAATAACTTCATAGAGATAACCATACGCATATGCTCTTATGATATGAAGTTCTTCAATAATAAACCAGTAATATAAAAGTGATTTCGCATGTGAACAAAATTAGTGTTATATATTAGTATATTATGAATTAGTAATTTTAATATGATGTAGGGCATTTGGGCATGTACAAAAGCATTTGAAAAAGTAAACCAACAATGAGTTAGATGGTTAGAAAATTAAAGACGGAAATTTAAAAAGAAAACTATGTAAACTAAGGCATGGATAGAAGTACTTTAAAACATCAAACAGCAATCAACAATCAACAATCAACAATCAACAATCAACAATCAACAAGAACAAATGAAAAGTTAAAATTCATAAAACTAGTTGCACAAAGTTTGGATAAGGCCAATTATAAAGATAATGAATACGAAATAAATTGACTACAATAAAACATAATGACACTCGTTGATAATATGATAAAATTTCAATGCTTCGCTGTGAAATTTTAATGCCTAAGAAAAAAAATGATCATGAAAGAAATGCAAACATTAAGGGGCTGTTTAGTTGGGAAAAAAACTAGGAGTATTGTATTCCTTTTACAAGCAATTCTCTTTTTTTCCTGTTGGGCAGGATGCATGTCGAATGAATTATATTGTTTTGCTGAATTTTGAATACCTAGACGAAGCCTTTCTTCATGACTTTAAAACCCACTTGATTCGAGTAAATTCCAAATACACAACAGCTTGGAATAAGCAGGCTGCAAAACTCATCCCGACATTCGCCTTCACAATCTTTCACACCACTAGTCATTGTAGCTCCTCCGCGTCCTTTAGCCTTCGTGTCCTCCAGCAAGAGAAATTTGCAGTTCCAGGTCAAATCCAGCTCATCACAAGCCCTCTTCACTGCCTCCGACCTTCATGACATCCACCACTGCCCTTTCACCGACCTTACGGACAAGTACGCAATCTTGTGCGCCGGAACTTCTTTTCGTCTTCTTTGTCCACATCACATGAAGGCTCACCTCTTCTCAGGGATCTATACCTCTATTTTATTTGGTTGAAATTGTAGATGAGTGCTCTCAAGATTCACAAGCATTCAACACGGTAATGGTTATTACTTTGCAAGTTTTTCCCCTAGGAGTTGTCGACTCTAAAAAATAGAACCTTCTTTGTCTGATTTTAAGAATGATTTCTTCCCAAACTCACTTTCTTAAGAGAGATTTTAATGTGATAAGCCCTTCAAAACTGTTATTATGGTTAGGTTTGAGGCATGAATTCATTCCATTATTTTCTACTTTATATTTGTAGGCCCGGGAATATTTTAAATTTTGTTGAATCAAGATTTGTCATGTCGAACATGCCCAAGGCAATGAGCGTAAGAACCAAGGGAGAGGAAAAGAGCGAGCTAGAGGAGTAACGCAGCGACTACCCCCACCAAAGCAAAATGAGGGTGTTCCGCGTGCTCTCGGAACCATATTATTTCATCAAAAATGTGATTACAAAGAAAGGGGAGAGTGATGCATCAAAGGCTAGAGAGGTCAAATGTCTTCCAATGTTGAATCCAGATTCGTCATGTTGACCATATCGAAGGCATAGAGCGTAGGGATCGAGGAAGAGAAAAAGAGTGAGAGAGAGAATGACTGACACAGTGACTGCCCTCAACAAGGTAAAGTGGGGGTGTTCCCGGAGCTCTCGGACGTATTTTATTTCATCAGAAATGTTACTACAAAGAAAAGGGAGAGTGATGTTTCAATGGCTAGGGAGGCCAAATGGCTTCCTCCCCTCCTCTTTTACATGAAAAAGATCCTCTTATTTATAGATTATAGGGGGATCTAGAAAATAACATCATTGCCCCTGAGAGTTATAAATCATTATGCCCATGGGAGTTACAAGTCATTATCCCCCTAGGACTTACAAATCATTACGCTCCTAGGAGTTACAAGTCATCATACTCTTGGTAGTAACAAGTCATTATACTCTTGGGAGTTGCGGTTTTCATTGACATATTTTTGTTTTTGTGTCAATCCAACATTGTGGCGAGTTGGTCGGCTGAAGTGACCAGCCGAATGAGACGGCTGACTATTTTCTACTACAGTCAGCATTTTTTCGAACATACATAAATGCCCACAAGTCTCTTACTACTTAGAAGTGAAGCTCCAATAAGAATGTGAGACTTTAAATGTCAAAAATACAAATTTAATATTTATACTCCCTTGATTTCGGTATCTCTTAGCGTCTTATTTTCTCCAGTCCCGAAGTGTTCTTTTTCAAGTTAATTTTTTATTTGCGTTGTCGGTCGGCCATCTGACCTTCAGCTGGTTGAAGTGACCTTTGGTTGGTCTTAATGGCTCATTTGTCGCTTGGTTAATAGTATTACTTTGTACCTATTGTTTTTAAGAAAAAACGCATTAAAATGTTTTATAGTCTTCACACACATGCAAGTAGACTATGAGTTTCAGTTATTTTTCACATTTGTTATATCGATTCATTTGTTTACAATATTTGCTCAGTGATGAATGTTGGTATTGGTTGATTTGCTCAACTCGGAGGGGGTCTTTAATTTGTTTTCCCCGGAGGAGGGGAGCTTTGATTTGCTCTCCATAGGGGAGTTTTGATTTACTCGCCCCGAATGGGAAACTTCCATTTGCTCGCCCTAGACAGAAGTCTTTAATTTGCTCGCTCCAGAGGGAAGTCGTTAATTTGCTCGCCCCCGAAGGGGAACCTTTCATTTATTCGTCTTTGAGGGGAATCATTAATGTGCTTGCTCCGAATGAGAGTCGTTGATTTACTTGCTTCTAAGGGGAGTCTTTGATTTGCTTGTCCCAACAAGGAATCTTTAATTTGCTCGCCCTAGAAGAGAGTAGTTGAGTTGCTCACCTTGGAGGGGAGTTTTTGATTTGCTTTCCCTGGAGAGAAGTATATGATTTGCTCGCCCCGGAGGGGAGTCGTTGATTTGCTCATCCCCAAAAGGGAGTCTTTCATTTGCTCGCTTCGGAAGAGAGTCTTTAATTTGCTTGCCCGGAGGGGAGTCGATATGCACATCCCCAAAGGAGAGTCTTTCATTTGCTCGCCTCAGAGGGGACTTTTTCATTTGCTTGCCTCGGAGAAAAGTCGTTGATTTGTTCGCCCCGAAGGTGAGTCGTTGATTCGCTTTGTCAGTTTAAATTTCCTGAGTGTCGACTTAAATGCAGCCACCTATAAACTTTTTGAGTTTCTTGAGTCTCTAACAAACCTAAATAAACATAATTAGAGATTTATATATAGATGTTTCAGAAAAAATATGGAATTACGTTGTTGTCTATTTCGATCTCTGAAGTTTTCAGTCTCTTTAATATTTCAATTGCTCGGATGCTTTAATCGTCCTGATTTGTGATGTCTGTCGCAAACATACAGTCAATCGCAAGAGATTGGTCGGATGTACGTGGTCGGTCGGGGGCGACTAGATTAGCAATCAACCGGAGGTAGTTTTCGGCTGGCGGATGGCTTACTAGAAAAATGAAGAAAACTATAAGAATAGGGTGGTATATATATGAATCTTCCCTGATTTTAATATGGTCAGCCAGAGATATACAACCAGTTAGTGGTAGGTGATTGGTCCAAGGTGGTCGGAGCAGCAATCGGTCAGAGGTTGGCTTGCTAGAAGCATAAACAAATTGAGCGATAAATATATAAGAAAAGAGTGGTAGATATGCAAATCTTTCCTGATTTCAAGATGGTTGTTCGGAGACATACAACTATTCAAAGGCAGGTGATCAGCCGAAGGCGACCGAAATATCGGTCGATCGAAGGTAGTTGCCAACCGGAGGTTGGCTTGCTGCAAACAATGTTTCTGATAATAGTTCAGTAACAATCCAAAAAGGATCTAAACTCGATGATTTTGTGTCAATCGAAGAGGTTTCTCAGCTCGAAAAATCTGGAAGGATCCCGATGCAAGATCAAAATTACAAATCAGAAGATCATCCTCTAAGTTTGGATCTATTAACAAATGGAGTAAGAGATTTTGATGATAAAACTGCGAAGTAATGGAGTTCTTCAGCTTCATCAATGATGGAACCAAGCGGAAGCTAGTTTTAAAGCTTCTGCTTGAAGAGACAATATGGTCCCCATGGGAATACCTTGTTCCAAATGTGAAGATAAGAGTGGGGAGGGGGCTCATCGTGGTGTGGATATACCTTAGATGACAAATTGAGAGAACGGTGCGATCGGCAATCCCTTAATATATAATGTTCTCCCATTTCGCCATTTAATAGGCATAGTCATAGCGGCTCGATGAAGATAAACTTCTCTTCTTTGGGAGAAGAAAGTCGGAGCTCATCGCCGGCCCTCACCAGAGAACTGTCGCTGAGCGGAGTAGGGACCTTGTAGTCGTCGCCATTGTAGATGACATTGGTTTGCGTGTCGACCAATTGTTAAGTTTCTTAGATGTGACATTAGCAGGTGGTGCCTCCTAAGTAAATCCCCTATTAGCTATTTACCTGGGAGATAAACCATAGTCTCGATCTCCATTGAATCGATTAGAAAAAGTGAAAGAGACTTTTGTAAATCTATGCAGAGAGGCAAAGTTCCTTAAAGATCTCCAACAACGAGGAATAAATGGAGTGAACTTGTTGTTGCGTGAGTTCCCCTTACAAGCTCTTTGCTTTGAGTGCCTCTATGAATTGATTTTCTTCGGTGTTGTTTATCTTCTTGTTGACGGCACAGTCCACACTCACCGCACCAAAGTTGAATCCAGAATTGTCAGGTCGACCATGCACAAGATATAGAGCTAGGGACCTAGGGAGAGAAAAAAAGCGAGGAACATAATGAATGTCATAGTGATTGCCGTCAGTAAAGCAAAGTGGGGGTGTTTTCCGGGCTCTCAAACCCATTTTATTTCATCAAAAATGGGATTACAAAAGAATGGGAGAGAGATGTCTCAATGGCTAGAGAGGTCAAATGCCCCCCTACATGAAAAAGATCTTTATATTTATAAAACATAGAGAGATCTAAGAAATTACATCATTGCCCTGAAGAACTACAAGTCATCGAGTTCCTAGAAGTTACAAGTCATTATCCCCCTGGGAATTACAAATCATTATGCTCCTGAGAGTTATAAGTCATTGTATTCCTGATAGTTACTGATCTTCATTGTCACATTTTCGTTGTTGGGATCCATGCGGCATTGTGGTCAATCAGTCAACTAGGGTGGCTGGCCAAATGAGACAGCCGAGCATTTTCTACTTACGTCGGCATTTTTCCGAATATACAAATCTAAACAGCACTAAAGAAAAAAACTACCTGTAGAAATTTAGTTGAGAATATATGCTAAAATTTTATTAACTTAGTGAGTTACAAGTATTATACGAAAACTTGTTTTAATACTACACAATGAATATGGCCAGAGATTGCCATCCCAAGCAATGGGTTACACCAAAATCTGAGACTAGGGTTCTCAACATTAAACTGAGTGTGAATTCTTAATTCTAGCTTCCAATGGACTTTGGGAAAAAGTGAAGCCTTTCATCATTTCAAGTATATCAAAATTATTTTTTGGATTTACAAACCATACTTTGATTAATCTTTTTGTTTAGCTATCAGAAAGTTGTCGATATAGCTCAGCTGTTGTGTGTCTGCTTCAGAAGGCAAGTCCATATTATTTCATGCTCGAAGGTGAACTCTAAAATATACTTCCATCTAGAATCCAAAGTTTGATAAGCAATATTTTATCTACTCTAAGGATAGTGTCATCACCACGCATCACTACCAAGCTATTTCAATCTCTTTTTTTTTATTCACTTAATTGCGCTGAATTTATTGATTAATTTTATATTGTAAATTTACTTTTATAGTACTAACAAAATATATATCTATTGACTATATCACCTATATTTATAACTGTGTTCTTGTTTATACAAGAAATTAAGAGCACCCTTACTGGTTTCATAAAAGTTTTGGAAGAACATCAGAATCTCCTCCCTGATTGATGTGGTTGCACTCAAGCCGCCTAAATATTACCTTATACGAACTTCAACTCCAATACAAACTTTTTCACTCGAGATGTCAGAATTTAGTCCCACCAATCAGTCCCCTTGTTCTAACAATACTGGAAATCCTAGCTCAGATCGCACTGCGCATAAATCCTGGAGTCTAAATTGTCAATTAGGCCTAGCCTTCTGGTAACTACCAGTTCTTTGGAATAAATAGATGAGAATCTGCCGCATGCACTTCATTTCCAAAACCTGACTTTCTTCGTAGCAAATTCCAATGGGTTTGCAGACAGACACATAATCCCCACACCAACCCTAATCCCCCGCCAAACCATAACTCGCCGCTATAATGCACAGAGTTCTGTCATAGAGAATAACAAACAAGAGCGCGCCATCTATCTAAATCAAGGAACCAAAAAGAAAAATCACAAAAGCACAAATCAACCATGAAAACCCAGATAGCAGATATATCAAAGAAAACCTCGAATAGCGGGAAACTAGAACCATTCCCAGGCGCTGCTTCTGCGCCCTCCCCGCCGTCAGAAACGTCATTGATGAGCGCGCGGCAGCGACAACGGCGACTGGAGAGTGTCAAGACAAAAATTGGATGGTTTCTCGAGATTCCCAACCGGAGAGAAGGCAATTTGCAGAGAGATAGAAAATGGGACCGGTGCGATGGTAATGGCTCTGCAAGCCTGGTGGCAAAGCTCGAGCTCGCGAGGGCTTCCATCGAGGGGAGAAAGAGAAACCAGTGACGAACGATCCCAACTGTGAGGAGCAGAGATCAAAGGGCCCACTTATAAATTATAATCTTAGCTTCATTAATTTTTTAGAGTTAAAGTTGAATTTTATAAGTTGGAATAACTCTCCGGCCGGCTTATTTATTAATAAAAAATAATAAAAATACAAAATAGCTGTTGTAGAAAATTAATAAAAAAATATATTTGAATGGAAATAATAATAATATAATGGCCATAAATACTTAATTGAATTTCTAAAGGAATATACTTGATACTGTAAGATTTTTCTCAAGGACCTACTTAAGAACTTAAAAAGTGAAGTCAGGCTCAAGCTAGACTTTATGATTCATTAACTTTGGTGCCATTTATCAAATCAATTTCCAGCTTGCTCTCAAGTTGACCTGACCCATTTACACCTAGTAATTGCGGCCTAATGGCTTGCTCCGTGTTAGCTTGAAACTCTCTCGCTCTAATAAGGGTGATTTTGAGCTCAATTTTTAGAGATTTATAGGCATAACACTTTAATGCTCTCATATTTATATATACCACACTCAAATAATCATATTTATGAATTACCTAATAATTATTTAATCTCATGAATTTAATGCATTGTCATCATTTCTTTCAATCTTCGTTAAATATCTCAGGTAAAAACAAATCTCACAAAAAGATGTGTTGTTAGACTTAATCTTTTTTTTTTCAATCAATAGTAAGCTCATGCACAGTAAATGTGTGGTTACCTTATTACGTTGTAGCAAGTCCTCTCTCTCATCGAACTCTTATTTTTAACTCTCTCTCTCTCTCCCTCTCTTTTTCCATCCATTTCTCATCGAACTCTTATTTTTAACTCTCTCTCTCTCTCTCTCCCTCACTTTTTTCCATCCATCCCTTGCTATAGTCTTTCTTTTATTTCCTTAAAGTTTTAAGTAATGGTCAATCTTAAAATGTGTGTGTTTTTGTGTGTCAGAGAGAGAGAGATATGTTGATCCAACTTAACAATAAAATTGAAGCCTCGTTTAAAATTCTCTGTCTTGAAAATTTAATTGGTCATTTGTTAAAAGCCAAACAAAAGACGAATACAACCCATATAAAAAACTTGTTCTACCACCAAAAAATTAAATAATACTTGGGTGTAAATGAACTTTCAGAAAAAAATTATAGTTTGGATGGTTCTGTATCTAAATACAAAACAAGACTTGTTGCACATGAGTTTAATATAAAAAGTTGCCTAAATTAAAATAAAACTTTCAGCCTTGTAGCAAAAATTACAGCTATAAGAGCTTTACTTACAATTACACACCACCGCAGTTGGAAAATACAACAACTACATGCTTCCAATGTTTTTCTACATGGTCATTTAGTTGATATAGTCTATATGAAATGATATATAACGTGTTGATTACACAGTGCATGTATGCAAAATAAGAAATGCTATATAAGGTCTAAAGCAAGCCCCGAGATGACAATTTTCATTATTCTCAAATTATCTCAAATAGACTGGATTATAACAATGTATAATAGATTCTTCTTTATTTCTCCATGGGCTTGGAAACAAACAAACTTTTTTATCAATATATGTTGATGTCATTCTAATCATTGGAAATGGCAATATATAAAATCTCTACTTAAGAGTTTGCATCAATAAATTTAGATGAAATACCTAAAAAATGTACTAGCATTTTTATTTATTCAAGTTCACAGAATAAATGCATGTCTACTATTGTATTTAAAAATGTACTAGCATTTTTATTTATTCAAGTTCACAGAACAAAGGCATGTCTACTATTGTATCAAGAACAATATATCATCAAGCTTATTTAAAATTCATGAATAAAAGAGTAAGACATTCATACTCCTCTATCTATGAAAACTTACAAACAACTACAATTAAAAGAAACTTGTGAAGATTACTCTTTAAAGAAGGATAGTTAGAGCACTTCAATATTCTACAAGTACAGGACTAGGCATAACATATTCAGTAAATCAATTATGTCAACACATAGAAAAACCGACAAAGAAACATTTTTAACAGATAAAAAAAATCATGGGGTGTATGCAAAGAATCATCGCAAAAGAAAATTTGTAACGACAAAAATATTCTGATTCAAGTTGGGCTACCAATCAAACAGACAAGAGATCTTCCATAAGCTATTGCAGTTACTCGGGGTCCCATTTCATAAAAAATTTAGAAAGAAGTTGTGGTAGCATAAACCATTTGCCTGAGGAGACTATTAGAGAAAATGGAAGTTTAACATATAGGAGCAACTTCAATCTATTGTAATAACAGATATACTACAACAATAATAGCAAATCCGATTTATATGTTATAATGAAATATATTGAGATTGATTTTCACTTCATCAAAGATTATATTACAAATGAAGGTATCACAATAAACCACATAACAACTCAGAATCAAGTGGCAAATATCCTAACCAAAAGCTTATCTAAAGCAAGATTCAGGTATCTTCACAACAAATTAACAATCCAAACTTTGTAGCTTTAATTTGAGTAGTGTTGTTAACAGCCTCATAACTAATCCTGTTAAGATGTAAAAATTGAATCAAATTTGAGAAAGATTTGTAACTAGAAGTAAGCATATCTCAAATTTATAAATAGATGATCATGCCAACTTTAGAGGTGCGGTGCTCTAATCTACAAACTCTATTTTCTTATTTTGTCTTCAGAAGATCACAACTCGAACTTCTCCACTCTACCTCTAAGCATTTTAGGGAGTCTGCTGAGAAATTGAGCTCCACTTCATTCAAAGAGTTTAAATACCTTTATATATGTATAGGTTTACTTGTTCGGGATAGAACCGGATCTCAGTAATTACTATTTATTATTTATTCATATTTATCTGATTTTCATGATCCTGATAATTAATATTTATTATTTATTCATATATATATGATATCTGAATGGTGATATTGAGGAACTAGACCGACGTTAGATTGATGTCTTCGCTTGACATTCTTGTAATGCTTAGTTCATATGTTTATCTATTTTGCTCTAGCCCTATTGGTTAAGACTCATATTATTCTTGTTGTCATTCTCCTAACACTTTTCTTTTTCGATTTTGGCTTGGATGGCTACATCTGATCTAATAAGTGAGCTTCTTGTTCATCTATCGGTAGACCCTCCTCTATCATGCTTCCACTCAGCTGAATCGTTGGATCGCCTCGAGATTCGCACCGACACATTTTTTATGTACTTATCTTAAGAAAACAACTCTGATTTTAATGTCATTGTAAATGTTATATTTATGTAATCCGTGTAATTATTTGATGAGTTTAATCAAATAACCCATACTCCAGTAACATTTTTCAAACGCCCTTGTGCATTACTTCCTTCCCTAAAGGGATTTTAGTGATAAGCTGAAATCGCACAACCATAAAACGAGAGGCCACAATTTCTCCCCCTCATTTTCTCCCCCTCATTATCACTCTTCTCCACACGGAGAGGCCACAATTTCTCCCCCTCATTTTCTCCCCCACACTCCCCCACGCCCCTCTCTCTCTCTCTATTCCAAACAGCTAAAGCCCAGAAGACCCCAGAAAATCTTATCTCCTATCCTCTTCTCTTATCTCTCCTCACCTCCTCTCCCTTATACTCCCTCTTCCCATCCCCTTCCCTTCTCGCAAGTGAACTTCTCACTCCCCTCATCTCCTCCATTCCCATCTCCATCAACCGAACGCCAAAAAATAAAGCGAAAGAAGCAATTTTTCATGGCTCCTAAGGCTGGAAAGGCCAAGCCCCATCGGTCTAAGGGGGAGAAGAAGAAGAAAGAAGAGAAAGGTCTCTCCTTTTTTATTCTTTATCGTTTCTTACGGTTGTCTGTTTCGCTCTGTTCCGAATCTCTTCTCTCATTTTCTCTGTTTTGTGATTAATGCGCAGTTCTGCCGACGGTCGTCGACATTACCGTCCAGACTCCGGACTTCTCTCACCTGACGCTCAAGGTACTTACCACCTCCTTTTCTCTCCATCTCTGTTTTCCACCGAGTTGTAGAGTTCTCTGCGCCTGCCCGCAAGCATTAGAGGTGATGAAATTATAGAAAATTTAATTTTTGATTACTTGGACAACAAAATTAAATTTGCTGAACATTTATGTGATATAAATTTTGCATATTTAATACAAATTTCTAAACAAATTATTGATTTTTATCTACATTTTGATACAAAAATTTTTTATGAAAATTGGATTACTATTTGATTGAGATCATCAGCAAAGGAAAAAAAATGCTATCTTTGAATGTTCTGAGGTAAATTTTATTAAATTAGATTCTTGTCTTATGTTCTAAATGGTAATCTAATAATTTTTAAATTTATTAAGATTAAATTTTAAACTTCAATATTTTTATTTGATTTTTTTCCTTTGTAAATAGATAGTTCAGTTTTTTTTTTCTGTTTTTGCTAATTTTCAATGAGAATTTGCCTATATTTTACCATATAGTAATGCTGCTGTGAAACTAGTTTTATTAAGAGTGATTATTAAATGTATATATATATATTTTTTTTAGTAAAAAAAAAAAACAAAAAAGATTTACATACATATCGCTCAATTCTCATTTCTTTACAAAATATGTATTTTTTTAAAGTTTAAATAGTTCTGTTTTTTATTTGTATATAATATGTTGAATCTTAGTTTCTCCTTTGTGGATCACACTCCTAGAGTGAGTGACGAGTGAAGGAGAGAATGAAGAGAGAGTAGAATAAGCTCGAGATTTTGTAGGGAGAATCAGGGAAAAAGTCCTTTATTCGTATTTTTTGTCTCATACTTATATAAGTGTGTTTTGTATAATTACAGAAATAAAAAAACAATTATGGAAACCATTTTTAATATAATTAAGGCTCTAATTAATTGTATAGATTTTATATTATATTTGTATTATAATTTGAATTTCAACGTTGACGGTAATTATATGATCAACTGACTTGAAGTCGACCAATTGAGGCGACCGACCAAGTTTCCTTTGTCTTATGGAGGACGCATTGGTTGATTGAGGTAATTGGCCCATGTCGATCTTGCTCGGTGTCTTTTGACACGGTCAACCAGAGCGACCGGTTTGCGAGGTGATTGTTCAGTCCAGATGCAGGATTGATTGGTCGAATGTGTTCAACTAGTTTTTTTCTTAGTAAGCTGTGACTCATTTTACGTTTGGCTCGAGACTTATAGGGGTCGTGTCTCGCCTACCTGGTTGGTTCGTTGTCTCGGTCAAATCTCCTAATATGACAAAGTCTTAAACGGATCTTGTTGCAACCCACGCGGGATATCCGACGAGACTTGTTGCTGGGATGATTCACGCCTCACCTTCGGCCGGTATTGCCGCTACCGAGCGGGGGACCTTCTCCGAAGTTTTAACTTATCCCACGTTTTGGAGATGCAACTCGACCTTGGATCGTTAGTTGATTGCTTACTTCGAAAGGAGATCCTTTCCTCTCGGTCGTTCGTTCTCTTTAAGACTTGTGCTTTTATTTATGACATATACATATTAGTTCCTTGAGTTTTCCTGCTTCTTGATAGCGACAACTACAGTGAGGACATGAAAAGCTATTAAACAATCGTTAATAATAAATTTTTGACTTGATTGAACACATGACTTCTCTTTGAGATTTGGTGCCCCATGTGTTCTATAAATAAATATGAATCGAGTCTTCTATCATTTGTCATTAATTTCTCTTTTCACAACATAGGTGCATTATGACTGACAAATTGAACCGAGTAGTCATGGATCCTGAGAGGCTCACGAGGGCAGGATTTCAGATTCCCTCTTCTGTAAAGAAGAAGAAGGTGGTGACGAAGGAAAAATGGGTGAGACCTAAATCTGACCTGGTTGATATAGTCGACTCATCTGACGATGCGAAAGGTTGGTCGCTGAAGAGGCCTTGTCGAGGGGCCTCGAAGTCTGGTTCGAGCTGTTGTGGGCCTGCGGGCCTTTCGACTGAGGCGAGCTGTGAGGAGCTGGGGAGGAGTGGATGTCACGACCCTCCCGCAGTTGCTGCCGCAACAAAGTGGGAGTGTCTCGACGTCAAAGGGAGAGGAGGCCTTCAAGACTGTCTCCTCCATGGAAAGATTTATGGATGAATTGGCCAGGTAGGAGGAACACCATAACAACGGGTTGTCAAAGCATGTTGTGGAGTCTGCCCCTACCACAATGATCGTTATGCAGGTTGGAGATGTGAGGCGCTCGCCGCTGTCAACTGGGTGCATATTTATTTGGTGATAACCAGAGTAGGCGTCAAGGAAACTCATGAGTGAACAGCCGACCGCTGTGTCCACCAAGGTGTCAATTTTCAGCAGGGGTTAGGTATCTTTCGGGCAAGCGACATTGAGGTTGGTGAAGTCGACGCACATCCACCACTTGTTGTTGGCTTTCTTAACTTTAATGATGTTAGAGAGCCATGTTGGTTACTGGACTTCATGGATATAGCCGACGTCTAGCAACTTCTGCACCTCCTCTGCAATGGGTTCTACCAAAGTTCTTAAAGTCACCAGATCTTCTACTGGATCGACTGAGTGGGGGTTGATGTTCAGTAGGTGGCACGTTGCGTAAATCAAAACGTCAGACATTTTCACTGCGGTCCAAGCGAACACTTTCCGGTGCTCCCGAAGCGTGTGTTCCAGTTGGTTCTTGAATGATGCGTCAAAGCATTCACTTATCAGAAAAACCTTACTAGGTTCTGTGTCAGACACTGACACCTGAAGTATGGTTTCACTGGTTTCAAGTCCCTCCTCCCTTTGGATATGAATGTCGAACGATTCATGGTGGATGTTTGAAACTGCTCACAAATAACAACTTCTAGACTGGTTTCTCCAAACCGTAATCACTTCTCTGTCGCCCGATAACTTTATCATTGCATGGTAGGTAGGAGCTACAACCCTATAGCTATTTGAGAGTGGTCGATGAAAGATAACATTGTAGTTCGGTGGGGACACCGCCTCCGTCCTTTCTCCGAAGAATTCGAATAACGGGCAGGTTGGTGTCGTAAATCGGCCTGTCTTCAAGTCAATCTTATAAAACACCGTCTTGAACAATGTGTTAACCAAGCTCCTAATATCAAAGAGGATACTATCATAGTTGTTGAACAATGTTGTGATGACGATTGCCTCATTGTAGAGACTCCCCTTCGACGGGAGATCTGCTTCTTAAAAGATAATGGGTAAATGATTACACATATGTGGGATGACAGAACATACATCGTCAAGTCCCTCCTCCCTTTGGATATGAATGTCGAACGATTCATGGTGGATGTTTGAAACTGCTCACAAATAACAACTTCTAGACTGGTTTCTCCAAACCGTAATCACTTCTCTGTCGCCCGATAACTTTATCATTGCATGGTAGGTAGGAGCTACAACCCTATAGCTATTTGAGAGTGGTCGATGAAAGATAACATTGTAGTTCGGTGGGGATTCCACCATGAGAAAATCCTTTGTATTGTTGCACTGCTTCCCGGGCTCTCCCCAAAAGATGGTGAGGGTTATAAGGCTCAACGCCTCCTTCCTTTCTCCGAAGAATTCGAATAACGGGCAGGTTGGTGTCGTAAATCGGCCTGTCTCCAATTGGAGCTTTGCCTCGCCACAACGTATTTGCGTCGAACGCTATGAACTCTTTGAGCTTCCCGACGTGGATGAGCTCCTTGATCAGATTTTGGAGGTGACGACACTCCTTTGTGTCGTGGTCGGGGTAGCGGAGGTACCAACAGTGCATCTCCGGGTCCTGCGAAGCTGGAGGCGCCTTCAACATCGGTGTCGGTTTGAAATAGTCATTGTTTTGGATGGCTTGAACTATTTTAGCCATTGACACATTGAGTGGTGTCAAGCCATTCATTTCTCGATAATTATGCGATCGCACATAGGTCGGCTGTTGGTCAGAATGCTGCTTCGGGTCACAGTGCCCCCAATTATTTCTCTGCAGATCTCGGGATTGAGGGTTACTATTCTGGTGATCGGCGAAATACTGTCTGTTCCCACCTTTATCCTTCTTTTATTTTTTGGGAGGGGGGAGGGGGGTGTGCTCATTCGCCATTTTTAGCACTTCAGCAAAAGTGTCAGGTTTAAACAAGTTTAAATCATACCTGAATCACTTACTTTAGACCTCTTGTTTCAAGTTGTTTCGACTATTTTGGGCTTCAGTTTCTCACTTCTAACATATCATTCCGAAAACGGGTGATGTAGACTCGAAATTTCTTATTTTCTCCTTATTTGATGTCGAGCAAAGTATCTTTGTACTTCATTGGTTTCTGCACGTTTGAGAAGTGCGAAATGAAGATTCTCTTGAACTCGTAGTAACTCGGAATGGTTTGGGGCGACAGATCGTTGAACCACCGGAGGGCTGACTTCTTTAGGGTGGGTAAGAAGAGACGACATAATATGTGATCGTCAACCTGAAGTAGACCTACCGATGACTCAAAAGAGGCTAAGTGGTTGATCGGGTCTGTTAAGAGTCTAGACGATGGACCCTCAGTTTGGGTGGAGCTACCACTTCTTTGATTGAGTGAATGCCCCCCCGCGAGTGGCTAGACAGGTACCCGCATCCGTTTTTCCCATAGTCTGTTTGCCTGTGCGGATGCACCGGTGTGAGCGTGTCGAGACTCGCCTTGTCCCTCTGTCTACTAGTTGCTAACTTGGTTGCAAGGACAGGTGGGTTCTCCAGTGGGGGCCCTCTAAGGGCGGACCCCCGGAGGTTGTGCCTCCAGATGAGATGTTTGGTCGTTCCATTGGACTATTTTCTCTTGGTCTTTCATTTTCTTTTGAATTAGTTCTGATATTTTTGATATATACATAGTAAATAAAATTCATATCTTGGATATGTAAAAACAAAAGAATTGAGTGGCCTCTATGTAAATGTCTTAATTTTTAGATTGTCCAAACTATATAAAAAATTTTATTAAAAAATTAAATTATGTAAAAATTTTTCTAATGCCATATATGTAATTGCTAGTCCTAAACTTTAACTTGGTTTGCCCATGATTAGTTTACACCTATAGCTCACCTTCATAATGAATTTGTATAGAAATATTGATGAAATAGAAATCATATGAATTATGGCAAGATATCAAGTTTTTTTTTTAAGAAAATATGAGAATATATAATTAAAATATAATACACAAGTATTAAATTTATTCAAAAATGGATATGATATACATGCTAATTATCAAAATAAATATAGTTATTTTGAAATCCACTTTCATTAATTTTATTAAAAATCTTAATAAATTTAATTACACTTATTTAAATTATTTTAAATCTTGATAATTTTTTAAAATATTATTATATAAATCATGAATCTTATAATGATATCATCTATTATTTCTCCAAAATAAAATAAATAATAATAATTTATGGCCTCGTGCTAAGTAGTGTTAAATGTTTATTTGAAGGGGATATCTACGGACAGGATTCTCGATGTTCGAAAACTTCTGGCCGTACACGTGGACTGCTGTCATTTAACTTGTTACTCCCTCTCTCACGAGGTAAGATTACCGCCAAGTCCCGTTCGGGAATATTAATTATTAAGCTTTCGTCATGCCCTTACTACTTAGCACTGAGCACATGATATAATTTATTTCCAGGTGCGGGGACCGCGGCTCAAGGACTCCGTCGACATCGTCTCCCTGAAGCCCTGCCACATCACCATCATTGAAGGTAATTCAACTCGAATCTTAACCGTTCATTAAATGAACTCCCGTGGATCCCGCGGTTAGCACCATCCGACAGTAATGTGGAGAGCCCTCTTCTTCCTGGCAACTTTGGCTTGAAAGTATTAATTATCTTAAATCTTGTAAGAAATATCTTTATTTTAATAATACAATATATTATAAATAATAAGGTTAAACATATTAAAAAATGGAACATCTATAAAGATTATTATTTGAGCTTAATTAACCTATATTACTACCACTAAGCACATGATATCTGAAATTTCAAGTTAAAATAATCAAATACACGCGAAGTAATAAACCCTAAATATAATTTTTAACTAAAATAATATAATATGAAGAATTAACAATTGGTGAATAAACATCTATTTTAAATTTGGGGCATTTGCATACACCCCTCTCAATTCTTATGTATTACATATCTACACCTAAAATACTATGGAATCCACTGAGAGATAAAGGTAGCAGAGTAGAAAATGAAGAACATACATGGAGACAAGTTGAAACTCCAACAACCACCAATGGTACTTAAATTACAAATCCTCAGAAAATACAATGTTCCCACCATCATGGAGGTGAAGTTACAAGGAATAATGGAGTAAATATTGTAGCGTCAGGGATGCTCCATTAGTTTATGAGCTATTGAGCAGTATTTCCATTTTTTGTATTTAAAGATTATTGCTTGTTATATATGGGAGCATGCTTAGTAGATTTTCTGATAATTTATATGATGGAACGAGCTATAATGGCTTTGAATGGAGTTTCCAATATGGAGTAGAGAAATTAGCAATAAGATTAGAAGATAGGCAGAGAAAATATTTGAACGCGATGAGGAAATCCCAATACCAGACAAGCATATATCGAGAAAGATATCGTTAGTAAATAAATATAAAAGAAACTTAATACTTAACAAACATTCTATATTCATGACTTTCTAGGATGGATTCATTATGATGACACACCATTTTTCATTCCATATGCTTTCTCCTTCCCAAAATACCCATGAGCCGGTACATTTTAAAAAAGATCATCGAAACCCTTTTATTAAAATTTGAGCTTCAAAATCTTATGCTATTTAAGACTCTCAAGCTTCCTTGTTGACTATTGAAGGTGATGTTGATGTATACTACAACTCTAAATGTGATTTTAAATATCATTAGCTATTTCATTGAGAGTTCCTTCCTCCAAAGCTTGATCAACACCAAGGCACTAGAGAGTATAAGGAAGAAAATAATTATGCGAGTAGGGTAGTCAATGAAACTCTCACTAAAGGAGGTAGAAGGCAAACATGAAATACAACAAGACTAGATTTTGCTTGTTCAATCAGAAATTTTGAATGAACGTGTCGATAAATGAGACAACAATGCAAGCGTTTGCTAAGAAAGATGAAAGCAGAGAGGTTGTCATCATAATAGGAGGAGATGATATGGAAGCTCTCGACTAGTTTAAGGATATATTGTTATACTTTCAAAAAGAGGCTATAACTATGGGTTAGCTTTCACCCTATAATTATATGGAGTAAGAAACTCTGAACTCTAATTTCATAGGATTCAGACATTCATGTTACAGACCTCTTCATCTCCCAACAAATGAAAAGGGTGGTTTCATGGCCATGTATTTGCCCCAATTTGTTTTAATATTATAAACTAGCAAACTATGAGGAGGACAAGACTATTGAATAAGGGCATAAAGAAGTTTTTATTATTTATTTATTTTTTTTGTTTTGAGAAATTTGAGGCAATCTAATCTCAAACACACACTGCACATGCAAGACTTTGAACTTCAGAATTTATGGTTGACATATTAAACTCTCAATAAATATATTAAAATGACTTGCATAGATTGTGTGAAGTATCAATGATGATATCGAGAAGACTTAGAATGTAATGTTCTTTACTTATAAGACTACTAATCTTAGTGTTTTGAATTTGTTTAGACAACAGTTAAGTCAAATAGAACTAAATTGAATTCCAATTTGAACTTTTTTTGTTTGCTACAATAACTATAATTCTAGCAAGAGTATAAATTAAATTTCTTTTATTTTACTTAATCCTTTTATTTTTAATTTCTTAATTGTTTTAATTAGTTTGCATCCCTATATCTAACATGTTAATATAATTTTTATAATATAAATATTTTTCTTAGGGAGGGACTTTAATGTGGCTCCACTATATTTTATTTTTGAAGATTTAGTTTGAAATTTATAATGCCAAGTATTTTTCAATATTTTATATGAAAAAAAAAAAGTTTTGATGGTTTAAACTTCAAATTTAAAATCCCCCAACTTCACCAGAGGAGTACACGGAGGAGCTGGCCGTTGCCCATATCCGGCGCTTACTTGATATCATCGCCTGCACCACCGTGTTCAGAAATCCTCCGGCGAAGAATGCCGGAGCCTGTACATCCCCCGGATCAAATTCGCCGACAGCCGGAGCACGATCTAGCTGCGGCATATCGAATGAGCGCGACTCCTCCTCTGCTGAAACTTCAGACTCCGTTCTGAAGCCCCAACGAGGAGGCAATAAATCCGGTTCCCTCTCGCCTGCCGTCGGTGATACCGGACCGAATCAGAAGGAAGAAGTTGCTATCTACCCACCGCCCAAGCTTGGCCAGTTCTACGACTTCTTCTCCTTCTCCCACCTCACGCCACCGCTCCAATGTTAGTTTCTCAATTTCTCTCTTTCTCTCTTTTCTGTCATCGATATTTTTCGAGCTTCAATATTTGAGACCGGGTAGGCATGTAGAAGGGTGAACTTTTGGTGGAATGAGATAACAAGTGGATTCTGGAACTGGGGTTTTCTACTTGGTTGCAGACATCAGGAGGTCGGTGCGGCCATTTGTGGAGGATAAGAGACCAGAGGATTTCTTCCAGATCGATGTGGGTTTCATGCCGAAATTATTGCTCTTACAATGATTGTTTGATGAGTTTTTTTCCTTCATTTCTGTATTTGTGACAATGAACAGGTGAGATTTTGCAACGGGAAGTTAGTGACTATAGTAGCATGTCGAAATGGTTTCTATCCACCAGGGAAAATGACTCTAACCAGCCATTCTTTAGTGGGATTGTTGCTGCAGATCTGCAGATCCTTCGATGGAGTGAGTGAAATATTTAATTTCTAGCCTCTTATTTCATTCTAATATATTGCTTACTGTTTAATTATGTGCACTTGCAGGCTTACAAGTCTCTTATGAAAGCTTTCGTTGAGCACAATAAGGTGACATTCTGCTGCTGCATATACTTAATGAAAGGTTTCATCTTGTTTTGAAGATTGTTTTTTTATTGATTTTTAATTTGATTAGAAAGACTGGCCTTCAAAAGCTTCATTGAAATTATGATTATGGCCTTAGGGGTAGCACATGCTAAGCTCAGAAAGGTCCATCATGTCATCATGTTAATTTTGTGAAGCTTGCTTTCCAGTCATATACAGAAAACGCTAGAGCATCAACAAGGAAACAATGTTCCTCCCTCCATCTGTTTCTGAACTTGGCAAGTAGAACATTTATATTATTGGAATGACCACCTTGTTCTGCCCTAGAAGTATTTTTCTTTAGAATATCTGTTCCATTTTGTTGTATTCTGTTGTATGACAACATATCATATATTATGTCAGACATTGATTTCCCCGTCAAGCGTTAAATGTATTTTCTCTCAACACCCATTTTGGCTTTATAGACTACAAATTAGGCTGAAGTGAGCGAAACATCAGTTTTCTTTGATCATCACAAAATACAGACTATTATTTTTATAATGGTCAATAGATCTAACTCAACCATTTATATAAAAGTGTGCGCAATTAAATTTATCAAATAAACTATAGAACTTCTAAGAAACTTTATAGATAATTATCAAGAAGGTTGTAAAGAAGTTTGTAATTTTCATCATTTACAACCTTCTTCTACGATACACTGAAATATGTACATTAAAACCATTAAGATTAAGATTAAACTTAGTTCACTTTACTATGACCCAATTTGTTCATTTTTTTATCTAATATAATGGTTATAATAATATTTAATGAGCTAGAATGTTTAGTGGGTCAAAAGACTCTAATGCAGGGTTCAATATAAGAAAAATGGAATAATGCTCATGGTAATTGTTGGATTCTTATCTATTTGTGGTAAGGGTGTCAATACGGGTCAGCGAGTTGGGTTTGGGTCTTACCCGAAAATGATCGACTCGAACTTGACCAAAATATTATACGGGTTAAAAATCCGAACCCGAACCTGAACTGCCTTCAAAATGCCAACCCAAGCCTGATTTGTATAACTCGTTTAACAGAAGGAATAACAACCATTTTGGTTAAAAATGATTCAATTTCGAGTCAATTAGGGTCATTTCCGGGTTGGTGGGTCTATTTCTAGTCAATCTAGGGTTGGCGAGTCAATTTGAACCCAACCCAAAAATTTAAATGGGTTTTGAATTTTTAGCCCAGTCCTGACTCGAAAATTATTCTGGTCAACCCGAACCATAGTTTTTCGAGTTGGGTTCTGGTCGAGTTGGTGTATAACTCGTTTAACAGAAGGAATAACAACCATTCTGGTTAAAAATGATTCTGGTCAACCCGAACCATGGTTTTTCGAGTTGGGTTCTGGTCGAGTTGATGTGTTGGTCAATTTTTGACACTTCTAATTTGTAGGTTATGCTAGAATCGTATTGGTATAAAGAAAATGAGAAGGTGTAAGAAAGAATAAATGAAAATAAAAAAGTACACTATCTTGGCTGAAGCATATAGAATGCAGAAGTAGACTCTTGGATTTTTTTGAGATTCTCTATTTATAGGGGGAATCTAGGGTTTCAAGTGCTATAAGAAAAATTATAACTACAAAATGAGCTGTACATGTAACACACACACTCACACATAAACATATATACATACAAGGGGCATGTAATTTTTGATATTAAGTTGGGCTCAATCTAGCCTTTAGTAGAGGAGCTTTGGGTCTCCTAAGTGAGTCGAGTGTCATTTTCAATCATTGGTGCCTTACTGGGCAGGCTCGACCTGACAAGTCAGTTGGTTAGTGTGAGTTTGTGAGTCTAATGGATGGTTTTTTTTTTCTAGTTGCAATATCAGTGCGCCTGGTATTGGCACATAGAAGCCTTTTACTTGATTAGGTGACTTCCTCCTCTACCTGACACGCGACTTTATTGATGAACTCAGTTAAGAGAGTTAATCTCAAGTTCATCTTGGCCAACCCTTCTTTGTCCTTAGATAACGAGCATATCTCATGAGACGTCGTTAGGCAAGTGTGCCAGTTTGGATGTACATTGGTCATTTAAACTAATACGAGCCTTAGTAATCATAGATTTAGCTTGCTCTGTCAAGTAATTTTTTAAATCAAGATTGGTATTTATAATTAAAATAACATGTATTTATTTTTAAGACTTGCATAAAATGAAAACAACATGTATTTATTTTTATAAGGTGGATATATACTATGCATAAGGCTTATAGATCACATCAAATACGATTAACTTGCTCAATATTAGGGGTGTGAACGATCCGATTTAGAGCCGATCCAGGGCCAACTCGAAATCGGATCGAAATATTTTGAACGGATCAAAATAAGATCGTGGATCAATCCAATAAAATTTGATTTGATCCAGTGTGGATTGATTTGATTTTCGAGCCGACACGAATTGTAAAAGAGCCAGCTCGAACGCCATTTTTGGCTCATGAGCCAGATCGGTCCTGCTCGAACTCGCCTTGGCTTGCCAACCAACCCACCAGAAAATTTTTTCTTTTGTGAAAAAAGGGTATCGGAACCTCTACCACTCAGCTCAAGCAAAAATGACCTCACCAACTGAGCTGGCAATGCATTATGCATGTAAAATTTAAATTTAGGTGTTATGTATGTAAATTCATAAGAATTTATTTCGATCTTGATCCAATCTTGATTCGAGTCGAGGACAGATTGAAATAAATTTGATCCTTTAATTTGGCTCGTTTCTCGGTTCAAATTGTTCAATACGAGCTAAAATTCAATCTGATTTTTTAGAGATCGTGAATTTTCGAGCCAATTTCACAGCCCTACTCAATATATAGAAATTTCTACTAGCATTCACATAATAGTCTAATATAACCATATAAATTAATAGTTATCAGGCTTATGAATAATTTACTTATATTAAAAATTAGGTTCTCACTGCTAACACTCAATTTTACGTAGGATTCGTTTGGGACCACTTTGTTTTTTAAAAATGTTATTTTAAACATAACTTTTTAAAAAAACAACAATATAAAGTCATTATTGTTAAACTGAATATCTCGTTTGAGTAAAAATATTATTTACTACTTTTATAAAAGTTAAAGACAAAAATACCCATGACATCAACCTTTATTTTTTACAGCTTTCATGGCTTCTAGGCCTCACTTTACAATTTTGACATTAAATTATTTCCACTGTCTTACACAACAAAAATTTCATAGTTTTTTTTTCGAGAAGAACATTTCCACTTCGTACACAACAAAATCTTATCAGGATCTCGTTCTCTGGCACAAGCAATGAACCTCACAAAAATCTCTTCAAGGTCTTCTCCGGCTCAATCAACCTTTTTTACTTCGCCGTGATGAACCTTTCACAAACCACGAACTCCGTCGCCAACTACACTTTCAAGGCTATTTTGTACTTTTTGATTTTCTGAATGATAGAACGCCGAGCGGCAGAGCGGAAGCCATGGAGAAGTCACGTCTTTAAACATTAACGAAATACAGTTGCGGTAGATGCATCATTCGTCGGCGATCACCAAACAAATTTTCTTACTTCTGCCACCGCTAAAACGGTACGGTGCCCGACCATTTTCTCAAACGGGCTTATTGCTTCAAAAAATGATCTTTGGTAAACAACTAAATAAAACATCAATGCCTTGATTTAAATCAATCTTTAATTTAAAAAACAAATCTAATTTAAATAATTCTATTATAATATTTTTATCTCAAAATAATGTTTCCTCATTGATGTTTTTAAACACAACAATATTAATACAAACTCAAATTGTTGGGGAAATCATGAAAAATTGGGAATTAGTCGGGCAGGATCAATGACAGTTTTCAGTAATATTCCATTTAAGAAGAAATGTGTAGCAAAAAGTGAATTAATCTGGGAATAACCTAAAATTTGCAACCAATAGAATGCATGTGGCTGTAAATTGGTGGTTAGCTTTGCGATATCGTCTTCCTACTACAGAGGGATCAAATTCTTGAGAACCATCCCCTCCCTTTCAATCACTCCAGACAGTATCTATACATTCTGTTGAGCCTAGGTTGCATTAGATCTGGTATCAACGTATGCATGGATAGAACAGTATGAGTTATTTGGGAATCTCTTTATATTAAACCTTGCAAAAACCTGCTAACAAGTTTGAACCCTTGTTTGAAGGAAGAGAGGAAGTAACCACTCTTGAGAATCATGCTTTTTTATCGAGTAAGATGTGGCCCAAAATCACACTTCATTTTGTCATTCTTCCTAATTATTGATTTTGTAGTACCACTCTCACTAGAAATAAAATTTTATGTTGAAATATCTAATTCAAATTACAATTTTTATTGTATTTCCTCTTATACAAATTTTATTCTCCTTCCTTATTTATATTATGTGATATCTGTACCAAATCTTGTTTAATGAGTCTTGTAATGTAATAGGAAATTATTTAAACTTATTTAGTTAGTTTCTTTATCTAAGGAAGAGGGACTCCTATATGTAAAGACACATTGAATTGAATCAATAAGAAGAAATGAATTTTCTCTTCAATTTCTGGTTTTATGGTATCAGAGGGGAATAAAGAACCTGCCCTTTCGCGTGAAGAAAATCGTCTCGGTAGGCGCTTTTCTTCTTCGAACCGAAGAAGGCGAGGAAGGTCGCGGGCAACGGGCTTCTCGAAGAAGATGAGGGAGTTCGCGAGCGACGCTGCTAACGGAAATAAGAGTCGGGATCGCAAACGACGAAGCCTTCTGTTTCGCCGTTGCTGCTCTAATCTGCTTCGCTGCCCACAAACTCGCGATTCGCGAAACATTACCTCTCCACTGTTCCGCCACCTGCAAAGTCATTGTCTAGGCCGCCACCTGCGAAGCCCTCTTCATATTCCTACGCAACCGTTGGAACTCTGCCTCACACCTGCAAAGCCGCACAATCTTTTTTCTTATTATGTCTGAAAATACAAATGATTCCGTTACTTCTACTCAGCCTTCCACACTGTCATCTGCTTCCGCACCACCCTCCTCTAAAACCACCGAAAATCATCCCGCCCAGATCACCACAATCCGTCTCAATGGTGATAATTATCTATGCTAGTCACAATCAGTGAGGATGTACATTAGAGGAAGAGGGAAAATAGACTATCTAATTGGGGAAGTGCGTAAGCCAGTCACTACAGATCCATCCCACGCAACATGGGATGCAGAAAATTCCATGATAATGACATGGTTGGTAAACTCTATGGAAGAAGAGATAGACTCAAACTACATGTGTTACTCTACTGCCAAAGAACTCTGGGAGAATGTGACCCAAATGTATTCAGATATGGGTAACCAATCTCAGGTTTATGAACTTTCCCTGAAACTTGGTGATATTCGTCAAGGTAATGACTTTGTCACAAAATATTTTAATTTCTTGAAAAGAATATGGCAAGACCTTGACCTGTTCAATGATCAAGAGTGGAAGTGTCCTGATGATGCTAGTAGGTATAAGACCATTGTTGATGCAAATAGAATTTTTAACTTTCTTGTTGAACTTAATGAGGAGTTTGATGAGGTTAGGGGCAGAATTATTGGGAGAAGTCCCATGCCTTCACTCCATGAGGCTTTCTCAGAAGTTCGCCGTGAAAAAAACTAGAAGAGGAGTGATGCTCAATAAGAAATCTACTCCTAGCAACATACCTGAAACTTCGACATTCCAATCGGAGGCTCATATTAGCAAGCCGATTGTTCCATATTCACAGAAAAATGAGGATAAACCACGGGTGTGGTGCGATCATTGCAACAAGCCACGACACACTAAAGAAACCTGCTGGTACCTCCACGGTAAAACTACAGATTGAAAGCCAAGAAACAAGCGCAAGCCACCTACTGCTAATACTGTTGCCGAACAAACCAACCCATTTAGTAAAGAGCAAATCGATCAACTCCTGAATCTGCTAAACCCCAGTTTGGCTACTGGTACTCCAAATTGTTCAATGGTACATGCTGGTAGACAATTAAACCATTAAATTATTGATTTAGGAGCTTCTGATCATATGACAAATTTACACTATTTATTTCATTCATACATCCCATGTTCTGGCCATGAAAGGGTTCGTATTGCTGATGGTAGTTTCTCTTCCATTGCTGGAAAAAGAAACATTAACCTGTCCAAGAGTATAGGTCTTAAATCTGTACTCCATGTTCCAAAACTTAAATGCAATCTTCTATCTGTCAGCAAACTTTCAAAAGATTCTAACTACCGTATAATTTTCTGTGAATCTTCTTGTGTTTTTCAGGACCAGAAGTTGGGGATGATGATTGGGAGAGCTAAAAAAATAGGAGGACTTTACTACTTTGAGGAGTCTGTTTCTAGTAAAAAAAAGTTGAAGCTTACAGCAGTATGAGGTCAAACTCCGCATTAGAAAAAATAATGGAATCGCATTTAGACTAGGCCATCCAAGTTTTTCTTATTTAAAACATTTATGTTTTAATTTGTTTAAGGGTGTTAATTGTGCTTTACTTCAATGTAAAACATGTTATTTGACAAAAAGTCATCGCATAAATATTGCTCCAAAGCCATACTATCCTTCAAAACCTTTTTACTTGATCCATAGTGATGTTTGGGGACCTTCAAAAGTCAAAACATTATCTGAAAAAAGGGGATTTGTGACTTTTATTGACGATTACACCAGAATATGTTGGGTTTATCTTATAAGCAAAAAATCAGAAGTTGAAATTTTTTTTTAAGATTTTTACAGCATGATTGAAACTCAATTTGAAACTAAAATATGCATCCTTAGATCTGACAATAAAACTGAATATTTTAATGAATGTTTAGGAGAGTTCTTAATAAACAAAGACATAATTCATCAATCTACTTGTCGTGACACTCCACAACAAAATGGAATTGCTGAAAGAAAAAATAAATATTTACTTGAGGTTGCTCGGGTTATCATGTTTTCAATGAACGTTCTTAAATATTTATTTCTAAATATTTATGGGGAGACGCTGTTTTAACAACATCATATTTAATAAACCGAATGCCAACTCATGTTTTACAATATACAACTCCTCTAAATAAACTGAAAAATAGTTTTTTAAATCTACGAATGTTTTCAAATATTCCTTTAAAAATCTTTGGATGCACATTTTTCGTTCATATTTCGAATAATTACCGATCAAAATTGGATCCAAAATCTGAAAAATGCATTTTTCTTGGATATGCCTCCAACAAAAAGGGTTACAAATGCTTTATTCTCATCACAAAAAAAAATTTACATTAGTATGGATGTGATCTTCATAGAAAAAATTTCCTTCTTTCACAAAAATCCACTTCAGAGGGAGTATAATACAGATGGAGAAGATGATTTTTGGCAAGTTTCTAATCCATTACCAAAAATTGTTCTAACACCAAGTACACCTGAGGTCTGTGAAAACAAAAAACCTGAAATATTTGTTGAAAATAAGGAGATACCTAGTCAAACGACGCCTGAAAGTATCTTGTCTAATACAGGGGGAGAAATAAAACATAATACAACAGCAGAACCTCTGGTTTATTCCAGGAAGAGGCTCCATAAAAGGAAAAAAGTTCAAACTGAATCTTTAGCTCCCTCACAATTTGAAGAACCGAATGATGGTCCTCAAGAAACACAGGTAATTTCAGATCCTGATCTTATTTTTTCACCAACAGAAGCTCAAGATTCAGAGTTTATGAATCTGGATCTTGCTATAGCCTTTAGAAAAGGAACACGTTCTTGTACTATCAAATATCTCATTTCAAAATAACTATCTTACAAAAAATCTCACATAAACATCAAGTTTTTTTGTCAAAAATTTCTAATCTGTCTGAACCCAGAACAATACATGAAGCTCTTAGTAATCCAAATTGGAGAATAGCAGTAAATGAAGAAATTGATGCTTTTTTGAAAAATGGGACCTGAGAAATTGTCACTCTACCAAGAAACAAGTCTACTGTTGGGTGTAAATAGGTCTTCACTACTAAAGCCAAAGCTGATTAGGTATCAAAAAATATAAAACAAGATTAGTAGCGAAAGGATTCACCCAAAGTCACGGAATTGACTTTCAGGAGACATTCGCTCCGGTAGCCAAAATCAATGCTATTCCGGTTTTACTGTCCATAGCAGCAAACCGTAATTGACCCTTGCATCAGCTCAACGTTAAAATGCTTTTCTAAACGTTGAATTAGAGGAGGAGGTATTCATGGTTCTTCCACCAAGATTTGAGAAGAAGTTTGGAGAAGACAAAGTGTGGAGATCAAAGAAATTCTTGTATGGGCTCAAGCAATCTCCTCACGCCTGGTTTGTGAGGTTTGGAAAAGTGATTACAAAATATGGATACACTCAGAGTCAAGGATCATACTATGTTCTACAAATCTTCAGAAACTGACAAACTCGCTATACTCATTGTCTATGTGATGATATTATCCTTACAGGAGATGATGTCAAAGAAATTGAGAAATTAAAAGAAAGATTGACCACAGAATTCGAGATTAAAAATCTGGGAGATGTAAAGTACTTTCTTGGTATTGAGTTTGCCAGATCTGAGGAGATCTTTATTAATCAACGAAAGTACGTACTCGACTTACTCAGTGAAATCATAATGCTTGGGTGCAAAACAACGGAAACCCCGATTGAACCAAAGAAAAGGTTACAAGTGACAAATAAAATAGATGGTGTCAATAAAGAACAATATCAGAGACTGGTGGGAAGACTAATCTACTTGTCACACACTCGTATTAATATAGTCTTTGTTGTTAACATGGTAAATCAGTTTATGCATTCTCCAAATACTCAACACTTGGAGGCTGTCTATCAGATCCTTAGGTATCTGAAAGGAACACCCTGAAGAGGACTATTGTTCAAGAAAAATGAGCACTTATAGGTAGAAACATTTACATATAAAGATTGGGCTGGGAGTGTTACAGATAGAATGTCAACCTCAGGGTACTACATTTTTCTAGAAGGGAACTTAAACTTAGTAACTTTTTCTAGAAGGGAACTTAGTAACCTGGAGGAGCAAGAAGCAAAGTGTCGTGGCAAGAAGCAACGCTGATGCTGAAATCAAATCTGTGGCTCATTGGATATGTGAAGTTCTAATTCTCAGAAGAATTCTCAAGGAGTTAAAAATTCATAGTCCACCACCAATAAATATGTACTGTGATAATAAGTCTGCCATCGCCATCGCCCACAATCCTGTCCTTCATAATAAAACAAAGCACGTAGGGATAGACAAACACTTCATCAAAGAGAAAATTGACAGAGGAGATATCTGCATGGTGTATGTTCTCTCTAACGACCAAACAACAGATATTCTAGCAAAGGGTCTTCACAAAAAACAGTTCGACGGTTTAGTGTAAGCTGGTTCTGAAAGATATTTTCATGCCAATTTGAGGGGGAGTGTTGAAAGATCTAATTCAAATTACAATATTATTGTCTTTCCTCTTATACAGATTTTATTTTTCTTCCTTATTTATATTATGTGATATCTGTACCAAATCTTGTTTAATGAGTCTTGTAATGTAATAGGAAATCATTTAAACTCATTTAGTTAGTTTCTTTATCTAAGGAAGAGGGACTCCTATATGTACTCCTATATGTAATTGAATTGAATCAATAAGAAGAAACAAATTTTCTCTTCAATTTCTGGTTTTATTTTCCATAGAATATTAGCTCAAATTGGTATAGAGAGTAGAAACCTCAAGTCCTCTTCATGTCTTACAAATCATAATCTTTACTTTTTTCCTCTTCTGTACCCATTTTAATTAGATTGTTGTGACTTGTAGTTTTAGTAAATAATCAGAACTGAAAAATTGCTGTGGTCTATTTCAACCTGTAGTTTGGCAATCTTCCATATGGCTTCCGAGCAAATACATGGGTGGTCCCTCCTGTTGTTGCTGGTTCTCCTGCAGTTTTTCCTGTCCTTCCTACAGAGGATGAAACATGGGGGGGAAGTGGTGGTGGCCAAGGAAGCGATGGGAAACAGGAACATAGGAAATGGGCAAGGGAATTTTCAGTCCTTGCTTGTATGCCTTGCAAAACAGCTGAGGAGAGGCAAATCCGAGACAGGAAAGCCTTTATCCTTCACAGTCTTTTTGCTGATGTCGCAGTTTTCAAAGCGGTTGGTGCTATTCAGGATCTTGTTTTTCGTCATAAACAGTCAACTGAAACACCAAATGACACTGATGCAATTTCGCCCGAAGTAAAAGTTGGCGATCTGACAATTACAGTTACACGAGATGCAGCTGATGCCAGTGTTAAATTAGATGTAAAAATTGATGGAAGTCAGGCTCCTGGAATGTCTTCTAATGATGTCACCATAAGGAACTTACTGAAAGGAATTACTGCTGATGAGAGTGTAATAGTTCATGTGAGCAGCTATATTAACATCCTTCATTTGTATTTATTAGATGAATACTGAATGATTATATGCTTGCAGGATACTGCTACTTTAGGCGTTGTTATTGTTAGACATTGTGGATATACCGCTATTGTTAAAGTTCCAGTTGAACCTTGTACCAGAACCCTACAGGACTTTGATATTGCAGACCAACCGGACGGAGGCAGTAATGCTCTAAATGTCAATAGGTAACTCTTGAAAATTCAAAAAGATGGTCATTTCACCATGTTTATTGATTTTCAATTCATTTGGATGCTTATGTTGTGCATTATTAACAATGATGTTATATTAAGCTACCTAGTATTTATTCAGTAATTTCTAACCACTGGAGAAATATTTGGTGATGAAACTTTGCCTGGCTTTCTTTCAGCTTGAGAATGCAATTGCACAAGTCATCTGCTCTGTTAACCAGCGAAGCCCTATACTCTCAGTTTTCTGAAAATGGTAATTTGCAGTCTTCTAGATCTTTGGTGCGAAAGTTATTAGCATTCAGTGTGGAAAAGTTAGAAAAAGAAGATCAATCACATAGAAAATCAATCAGGTGGGAGCTTGGACAATGCTGGGTACAGCATTTGCAGCAAGATCCAGGAAAAAGCCAACCTAAAAATACTGAGGTAACTAAAGTCGAGCGAACTATAAAAGGCCTTGGGAAACAATTGAAAGAAATCAAGAAAAAATCTGATGAGAGGGTTGTAAAAATGGATCCATCTAAGGACAGCTCTGTAGATGCTAGCAAACACCAAATGCTAGATGGTTGTAATCAGCAAGAGAAGGAATTGATTCTGATGAAATTACTTCCAGAAGCTGCATTCTTGCGGCTTAAGGAATCTGATACAGGCCTCCATGTTAAGGTTTTTATTCTCCCTCCTGCCAATAACTTTGTTCTATATGCTTGTGCCTCATTCAGCTTCCCTACATGTGCATACTTCTCAAAAAACAAAATATAAAATAAATGAGAAATACAGTATTTTCTCTTCAGATTTGAAGTTTCATCGTTCAATATAATGAATAAGTAGATTAAGTACTTGATAAGTTCAGAGGAGAAATAATGCCTGACAAGAATGAGTGCGGTATGTAAACTTGGCTTAGGGCTAATGATGATGATGGTGAAGTCTAAAAGCAATCGGAAAAAAAAAGAAGAGGAAGAAGAAGGGAAAAACACCGTGTAAACATTGCCATCACTATGTTCCATAGGTATCTTTGTTTCACAATTTTCAAATGTCACATTGATCACTATAAAGTTAAAAATCAAAATTTGATTTTGGTGGACACTCTTGATTAGAATTACTTTGTGCTAGAGACTAGTTTCTCAGTCTTTGTTTTGATTTAGCTACATCGCCCACTAATGGACTAACTATACCTTTGGGCCTCACATATGAAGTGTGCATGGTTGGTAATATTAACAATCGTTGTGATCAACGGGGCTTGATTTTTTATGTGATTGATTCTGCAGTACATGATAAGAATGTCATCTCATTTTATGCTATTTGGCAGTCGCCTGAAGAGTTAATTGAGCTGGCGCATAAGTACTGTGAAGATTCTGCCTTACCAAAATTGGTAAGCATGGATGGGTCATTTCACATCATGCTTTCTTTATCTTAGTTGATAGCCCATGCTACTATATCATTTTCCACTGTTCTCAGGTAGCTGATTTTGGGTCACTCGAACTTTCGCCTGTTGATGGGAGGACTCTAACAGATTTTATGCATTCAAGGGGTCTGCAGATGCATTCTCTGGGGCGCGTGGTACAGTTTAATTCCTTAATTATGACAAATTGATGATGGCGGTGGTGGATTATTACCAATTCTGGTTCTTAATTTTTGTGAAATAACAATTGATAATTCCATCTGAACTGCAATAACAAAATGCCAATTTCCTTTTTACTCTTTCTAGGTTGAGCTGGCTGATAAGCTTTCTCATGTTCGTTCTCTTTGCATACATGAGATGGTTGTCCGAGCATTTAAACATATTCTGCGAGCAGTTGTTGCAGCTGTTAGTGATATAGATGATTTGGCGGCGTCTATTGCATCATGTTTGAATGTTTTATTGGGCACCGTACCATCTGAGAATGTCAATTCTAGCTTAGCTTCTGATCATCACCACAAGGAGAAGTGGCTAGAAAATTTTCTTTACAAGAGATTTGGCTGGAGATGGAAGGAGGAAAATTGGAAAGACATGAGGAAGTTTTCTTTACTCCGTGGTCTTTGCCACAAGGTAATAGTTGTGTCTTGAAAAATGCAGTTTTTATTTGTCTTTATTTTCTCTATAATGAAGCTGTGCTAGTACTTCTGTCAATCAGGTTGGGCTTGAGCTACTTCCTAAAGACTATGATATGGATTCATCAGACCCTTTCAAGAAATCAGATATCATCAGCTTGATACCTGTTTACAAAGTAAGACAATTTTTTATCTACAAGTATAGATCACAGCTATTTCATAGATTGACTCAAGATATTTCTCCATTGGCAGCATGTTTCTTGCTCATCTGCTGATGGAAGAACTCTTTTAGAATCATCCAAAACTTCTCTGGATAAGGGCAAGCTAGAGGACGCTGTTAACTATGGTACCAAGGTTTGAATAATGCAGAACTTTTTGTTATGCCGCCCCACCAAGAAAACTTAGCCCTTAGCATCTGATTCTTGATGTTATCCATATCGTATGTTTTAGGCGCTTACCAAACTTGTGGCAGTTTGTGGCCCTTACCATAGAATGACTGCTGGAGCATATAGCCTTCTTGCAGTAGTTCTATACCATACCGGAGATTTCAACCAGGTGTGTGCTTCAAGAAAAGTTATCTAGCTTTTGAAATTGGACAATTCTATGATTTATCACTGGGTTTACTAAATTCAGCCAAACGATAAAATGCAGGAGCTCTATGAATTTATGAATTTTCGGATTAGTAGCCCCCAATTTTGTGTTGATTTAGCTTAAATCTGGATTTATTAAATTCAATGGTTGGGTGAATTTATGGATTGACGGATTTACTAAATCTTACTAATGCTAGATCCTACTTGCAGGCCGTTTGGTTTAGTTTGTAGCAGAGATTTCTATAGCAACACTTTCCTGGTAAAGAAAAATTGTTGCTATTAGATTTAGTTTCATGAAAACTGCATGATGATGTATCTTTTTGTATGCTCATTAAAAGGCACTTTCAGCTTAAATAATGGGGTATGCGTGTTGTGGAACAATTCTGAAGGAAGCATAGTGGGCCAGCAAAACAAGCTTAAGTTTAGCTTACATTGAAACACGTGGAAGCATGACAAATCTTGTCTTAATAAATTTACTGATCCTTGCTCTTTATCTTATATGTTGCCATTTTTTTATGGTGCATAAATTTAAGACAAAATTGTTTTTGGCATTAAACAAAATGAATATAAATTTGACTTCTTAGTGATGCGGTAGTGTCTCCCACTTACGAGTGGGATGCGTGATCGTCTCTCGCTTCCGATGCGGGATTTCTCAAGTGCGCAGCTGCTTGGACTGGTCCAAGACGGCCGATTGACCCTTAACGTGAATTTACTACCCAATTGGAGTGGGGTTCACTCCTTACTTACCATAGGTCTATATATGTTGTTTTTCTATTCTAGGTCAGTTTTGGATCGCGTTCTATCAGAACAACCGCCAGCATCCAGATTTTCTCCTTCTAGGACTGTATCTAAAGCTGGTAGTGCTCTGACTATATGTCTTCCGTGGTGGTAATCTCCTTCAAAGGGATCGAGTGGTGCTTTGGTTGTAGTTCATTCTCGTAGGAGTATTTATCTCCAACTTTTTCATCCTTCACATTCCTCCCCTCATTGCCGCCGCTGTCTTGGCTCACTGTCGGAACCACCATACAACAAACCTGTTGTCGTTTTGCAACTCCAACTGCCGCCACCACCTCCTCTACCTGCTATTATCCCTTCGAACCACCTCCCACCTGCTGTCATTAATTCCAACAGCTCGTCTTTGTTGTGCAGCCATCCCCCTCGCTGTTGCAACCCCGAGACAACACCCCTTTGCTGTTCCTCTGTCTGAAGCATTCCCCACACGCGGCTCTGTCATTCCTACTTGCTGCCACCTCCCTGAACAACCACTCTTAGCTGTTTGCTCGCTGCCACTGCTCTGAACAGCCGTTCTTGGTTGTTTGTTGCCGCTATATCCCTCCACCAACCCCTGGTTGTTGTCTTTAAGCCGTTTAGCCTCAACCTTTGCTCATCATAGCCCACAACTTCTCCTTCCTCCCACATCCGTCCACCGTTTCATCACTTTCCTTCTGTCGTCCACCGATTCGTTACTTTGCTCCTACCGTCCACTCACCAAACTGACCACCACCTTTTGATATAGTCTAGTTAAGGTTTTTTATGTTTGTCGCTGTATTTCCCTTTCAACTATGTTTGGTTGTAACCTTTTTTTGCCCTTTTTAGTAATGATATTTGTGTTTCTATTGGTGTTTGGGTTAACTTTGATATCATCTGATATCAGAGCTAACCCTAATCCTATTCTAGGCTTTCTAGCATCCACTAATATCCAACCCGACATTCACACAAAACACCTTTAATTTGCTAATTTTTCAAATCGGTGACCGCTACTTTCTCTACGGTATACCTAGTGATTTAGGATTTAAATAGTATAATTTCCAAAATATATTTTTTAAATTTAATCACTTAACACACCAGGTATAAACACAAGTACACGTATCGTTCAAGTAATATAGGACTTTCTTTAGTCCCGAGTACCGATCCCACAGGAAAGGTTGTAAATTGATGGACTTAAAATAGTTTCTAGCTGAATCTAGGGAGTCTTAGCTAGGAAATATGTTTGATATTTTGTGAGCTAGAAATTCTACTTATCTACTACTAACTTCTAAGTTGACTAAACAATAAAATATGCTAGGCTAAATGAAACAGAATGTCAAGCTATTTAGAGGATCCCTTCTCTTGTAATGGAACTAGTAGCTAGTGTAGGTGTACATCAATTAGAATCCCTAACTAAAATTTGTGACAAATAAGAGCATCCATTTTCTTTACCCTTTTCCAAGTGCATAAAGAAATTGGGTTAACACAGGAATTGTTTCTGCCCGTCATTCTAGAAACCTCCTAGTTATCCCCGTTAAAATCATCTTTCTATTTATTTGCACTAACCTAAGGATTACTTTTCCTTCACCATATAGATTAGGGTGGTTTTCACAAGTTGACAGAAGCCATAACCCTCCTGGATCTTATGGGTTCATAACGAATGTTAACACTATAATTGGCCAAATTGAAATGTAAATGAAGTTCACATGAAAAGCCATCACAATTACTAAATTAACATGATTCCAATTAAATTTACTCCCTCCACATTCTACTATTTCATCACAAAAGGAAAGAAAAAGAATCTACTCAGATTTCATGAAGAAAACCACAAAGAACAACTTCTTATATTAAGACAAAGTTAAATTCTATGAATTGATTCAATGCAAGATATTGAAAATACAAGAAACTTATCTTCTTATCTGAGAAATGAAGAAAAGCTCCATCCCAAATTGTTATCCTTACAATCACACAACAATTCCTTGCACCTCTCACAGAATTCAAACTATGAGAGGTATTCTTCTCTACTGGTTTGATTGTTTTAGTCATGCGTCACTTTTGTATTTTTGTTTTTTTGTGTGCTTGCATGCTTGATATGCATGATAGTATATTAAGGTGTTATTTTGCAGGGTGCCGTGCCTAAATATACTCACACACACAGATACTATAGAAGGGGGAGCATGTGATTTCTACTAACTCTTTGTTTGCAGGTGCTATTTAGCTCCTCAATAAAAAGGTCACGACTCAAATACGATTGCATGAGTTAACTCATGTTGACAAATTTCTGCAGGTCAAGTCTTTATTTTCTCTTTCAAATGTATTTGATAGAGTCCCTAGGCTTAGTCCATGTCGAAAATAAGGCACGAGCACGGGTTTAAGGCAGACGACGCATCGAACCATGTGTCGCGGACTAGAAACAGTGCTATCCTAGATTTAACTTGTTTCTTTCACTGCTCATATCCGACAGGGTGTAACTGATAAACTAGTATGTGAGGAAAAATCTGCTCTAGGGTGAACTATTTAGTAGACTGCACCACTCTCACTAGCTCCCACTCATGAGAGGTCTCTTCTCTACTAATAGGACCTGAATCTGATTACAAAATTTTCGTTCGTATCAAGCTCTTCTGGCCCACTAAAAAGCTGAGGTTTATCTCTCCCATCTGGACATCTGACGATGTGTCCCATGTTGACCTGAAATTAAATTTTAAATAGCTCCGCATAATATCCTCAACATGACACAATGACCCTATTTCTAGCATGTTGGACCTCTATAGGGGCAACTGAGGAAGGGGTTTATCCATCTGAAAACTATGCATCTCTCTTATCTGTAGTTGCCTTGTATCTGATGTTGACTCGTCAAATTCTTGGCCTTTTGGAAATACATGATCAATCTTGTTGATGTTCCTCTCAAAGCCTACAAAATGCTAGCTCGAGGCACTATAATTTCGTGCTCTGCATGATTGCATGAACGCCCATTATCTAAGAATCATTACGTTCTAAAGCAGCTACTATTACCTCCGTTGGCATCTCTAGCTCGAGGTCAACCAGAATTGGTGTTTCTTCCTTGTTGACGGAAAAATGAGAATCCCTTTTGAGGTCCACATGTTCTTTCGGATCATTGTTTATTTTCTCAACTGGATGTTGGTCCTCCTTTATGTCCTCCTCGGCTTTAATGTCTGCGACATCCTTACCCAAATTTTCAACGTCACCCTGCTGGGTAAAATAGATCACTCCCAACATGCCCAAATACGTGGCACTTGTAATTCAAATCCATTGACAATGTTCTTTTGAATCATTGTTTACTTCCTCAACTGGATGTTGGTCCTTTGTCCTCATCGGCTTCGGTGTCTGCGACGTCCTTACCCAAATTTTCAAGGACGCCCTGCTATGTAAAACAGATCAATCCCTAGGTTGTGCATTCTGCTTCAACATACCCAAATCCATGACACTTGCAACACTTCTTGAATGCGATAAACCTGCGGATTGATTTTGCTGGATAGAAGGTATGAGGGCCGCTTGGTGATGTGGTCTCTCTACTTCTAAAGCTAGAGTCCGCAACTTTTGTCGTTAATAAGTTGGTAGGAACTAATGTTGTGTCTCCCGCTTCATCTTCACATACTCTCATTTACTTCAACTCTCCAGATCGCGGTCTAGGGTAACCTCCCATTAGATTTCATTTTCAATGTCCATGAGTCACCGCTGAAGTTTACAGATCTCTCGCCGTATCTCCTCTCGGGAAAGCTCGGGCATGTATATTGTTGGTGGCATGGCTAGGGTTTAGGGTTGGGAGGTGAAATAGGGTGTAGGAGACTCATTGACTGTGTAGAAAAATTAATTTGGTGTATCAGCAAGGGAAAATTTAAGATTAGGTCAAATTTTTGCTGGAGGTTTGGGAATCAGAAGAGAAAAAGTTTTGGCAGGGGTGGCTTGGGTAGGAGAGGGTGCTAGGAAACTCTAGAATATGATTAGGGTTGAGCTAGTTCTGATACAAATTGATTTTGGATTTAACCCAAACCACAAAAGAAATAATAATATTATTGCTGAAATTAAAATTGGTCACAACAACATGAAATAAACAACAAGCAACACAAATAATGCCCTTGGGCGAGGAAGACGCGTGGGCTGCATGTCGGGACAACAGAAGCAAGGGTTGGAAGGTAGTAGGAAGGTTCCGGGACACACCTATATCCTCCCAGCATCACTTCTGGTGCCCTCCATTGC